CAATGGGGTCCTACAAAATTTTTGCAAATATTATGTGGTCCTGGGGGTGCGAAAAAATCTCAATGATAAAAAGGGGTCGGGACTGAAAAAAGTTTAAGAAACCCTCCTTGAAACAAAAATCAATATGCGTATTAAACAGCATTTGAAACTTTCATTACAAAATATCATTTCCGTTCAGCAATGAAAAGAAGTTGCTGCAACTTATTCAGCACGTATTTCTCTCTTCTCTAATTCAGTCCTTATTAACCAATGAAACCCCTTCTCCATCATTATCATCCTCTTCTACATTTGTTATTTTAAAATTTTCATCTAAAGCAGGGGTCGGCAACATGTTTTGGAAAGGGCCAGATCATAAGATTTTTTTAGGCTTGACGGGTCAAAAACAAATTCTAAAACGATTTTTAGGGAGTGATATTTTTATATAAAATTTACACACATTTTGTTAACACTTCATAAAAATGAATAAAATATTATTGTGCTTCCGACCATTAACGTTTTTGCAAACGGTCATCAGCTAACAATGATCTGTATTCCAATTTTACATACTTCATTTTTGAGTGTCTTTCGCATTGATAAGCAATATCTCTCTCATCGCATTGATAAGCAATATATAACTCTTAAATACATATATAAATCTCTGTGCTTATATTTTAATTGACCGTATTTATTTTGCAAAAGGTATTAGATCCATTTTTAAACATCATTTTTATCATGTCATCATTCTGAAGACCAATGACTTCCAAATGAAGGTCTGACGGAAGTTCCTCAATTGTAGAAGTTTAACTGCACGATAAAATTTCTGACCACTTTAAAAAGTTACAGTAAACAGATAAATGAATAACAAAGAATTAATTTTTCCACAAATGTGCTTTATTCTAAAAAATTTCTGCAAATGGTTACAAATTATATAAAAAAAAGAGGACATTCTATCCGACTTCCTTTTTATTCTTTGTTTTTATTCAACAGAATCGCTTGTCCGGGGAAGACATCAGCTGTTTTCAATATGACTTCCATTTTCTTTGACTAAGCATTGCATTCTGTTCACCGTACTCTCTACAGCTGAATAGAACTCAAACTACAGGCGCTAATGTCGACTACGTAATCGCGATTTTGCAATTTTTTCCCGTGTTTTATGCAAAATTTTAGTTATCTTAAAGTGTAGTAAAGCGCCACATTTTCCTCTATCGGCAACTTTTGGAACTATTTTTCCCTCGAATTCTTTTTTCCCATGTTGTCAATAGTCCCTGTACAAAATTTCGTAGCTTTGCGGCTGATAGTTCAAGCTACAGAGGTCTCTGAGTACCGTCAGTAAAAAAAAAAAAAATAATAAAAAAATAAAACCCACTATATACAAAAGTACAAAGTTGTAGTATCGCGCACACTTTCAAGGTTTGATAAAATAATAAAATCACTTTGCGAAGCAGTGAAACGTCAGTTTAAACCCCGTATGTGTATTCGTACTCATATTTGAGATTATCGCAGGAGTATTCTCTTTGGATTTGAGTAGTTGTATTTCATTAGGTTCCATCTTCCATAAATTTGCAAAATTATTTTGGGGTCGCAGTAATCCGCACATACGGTTGCATTATTGTAATAGCGGATTTATCATGTTTTAGAGATTTTCACATCATTTAAGACATAGAAAAAATTTACACCGGACCACCTTCCTTGTGTAACTTGAGTGTCTAATAACGTTACAATAAAACGAAACTTTTATCTACAAGCCATGCGATAATTAACAGAACTGCTTGACTTTAGATCTTTCTGCAGAAGCTGAACTATCAGAAACAGAAAATGAGTAGAAATCAACTTGGAAGGATAGGATTCTCGTCCTTAACTTCAGGTAATCTAAATGTATTTCGAAATCACTATTAAAAATGCCTCGTATTTTGTTATGTATCATGCCTGTTTAATCTTGTGATATTTGTGAAAGATAAATGCTGCATTTTGTCAAGTTCTTTCTAACAAATGGTTAAAATATTATAAAAATTGAAACAAAGTTTAACCAAGCATAATTTAGTAGTACTTTTTTAATGAATGAAACTCATTCTTCTTTCATCGTTTTAAAGAATAATTTCAATTACTTTAATAATTTATTTATTTATTTATTTTAAATGGCCGGAGATTTGTTCCTAAAGTCTTTGTTGGAAATGGCCGAACCCATACGCTGTTTAGCCATCTCATCAGTGAGAATGTTGCAGGTGCACCACCAGGACCGGTTTTAGATTTTACGAAATCCTAAACTATTTAAGATATGGGGCCCTTTACGAGAGATATGAGTCAATTTTTTTATATGGGATATTCTACAATTTTTCGGAGAGGGGGATTCCAAGAAAGTGGAGGCCCTAAGCTATAGCTTCTTCGCTTACACGTAAATACGGCACTGTAGCACCACCAAAGGTGATATTACAGCCAAGAAGTAGAAAGGAAAGCAACTCAACTATAGCTAAGCTTTGCGTGGGAATCCAATCCATACCCTTAGTTTTGGACTTCTACTACAGTACTTAATAGCAATTCATTCTTGTTTACCATATACCATCTCCAAGACGCCGCAACTATTTTATGAAAGTTCGCAAAAACAAAAATGAAATTATTTGTCATTTAAACTTAGAAACAAAAAACTTAATTAATCAAGTATTATTAGACTCACACGCATATTTAATAAATTACAAATACGCGAACATGATCTGTAAATTCAGAATACGATTATGTTGCATGGCATGCAGTATTTTGACGGCGAATTTAGGAAAGGAGCATTCCTTATCACAGGCACGTGTGTATGAATGGGATTGCCGAGATGTATGTGTGGGCTTAACTTTTACATATGTACAGATGGAGGACAAAATAATACGAACACCTGTGAAATAATGGAAAATCTTTATTAATAGGGTGTTGCAACACCCTTTAACTGAAGTACAGATTGAATGCGACATGGAATAGATGCATAAAGGTCATGGACAATATTTAATGGAATATTAAGCCATTCCTCCTGGAGAGCGATCTCTAATTCCGAAAGTCCGGATGGAGGTGGAAATCGGGAATGAAGTTTGGACTCCAGATATGCCCCTAAATGTTCAATAATATTCAAGTCCGGAGACTGAGGGGGTCAAGCGAGATGTTCAATTGCATCGTCATGCTCTTCAAACCATTCTTGAATACACCTAGCAGTGTGGATATGCGCGTTGTCGTCTTGAAAAAGCGGTCGCTCCCCAGGGAATACAGTCTGGACATGATCCCCTAGAATGCTTATATAGTGATTGGATGTGATCCTCCTATGCAGAATAACAAGTGGCCCAAGATCACGCCAAGATACCGCACCCCATACCATAATGGCGCCACCCTCATGCTTCAGAGTTGGCAAGAGGCAGTCAGGATGAAACGCTTCTTTGGGCGTTCTCCAGACATAAACGCGTCCGGTACTCTGAAATAGGGTGAATATAACGATTCATCTGACCATATTACCTGTTGCCACTGCTGTGGGAGCCAGCCTTTGTGATCACTTGCACTTGAAAACTCACTTGGTTGCACTTGAAAGCATTAGTTGCCGTCACCAAAGGTTTACGAATTGCCACTCTGTTCGCAGCATGAAGTTATCTTTTGGCAGTTTTTGTTGAAACGGTGTTCATTTCGGATGTTATCTCGGATAACGATTGCTGGTGCTTTCGGGCTACTATGCACTTCAAAGCCCGTCTATCCCTATCAGCCAGCTTTGACTTTCGGCCACTGCTGTGCTTTGAAGACGTTGTCTTACCCTCTTTCATGTACGCTGTCATAACGGCTGATACTCTACTCCTTGCACACCCCACAAGGTTTGCTGTTTCCGTAACCGATGCTCCGCTTAAACGCGCTCCAACTATCATTCCTCTTAGGAACTCTGAGAGGTTTGACATTTCAACTTCTCACAGACAGTTCGATCGAAGCATGCAAGGCAGGTAACTGCTGTTGAGAGACTTATACCTTCCTCTTCACGCTCACTAGGTGGTAGACTTCTGTTGCAGGTGGCGCGGCTGGACTGCAGGTGTGAAATACGTCATACTTTTTCATAGGTGTTCGCATTATTTTGTCCTCCATTTGTATACATTAGTGATCTTTTACACAAAGTGTTCGTACCATTGAACCAAACTGTTGATTTAATGTTTTATCGTGAAGTTCTGGAGCGTTTCAGCCACCGAGTTGTACAAGTAAGGCTAGACTGCGCGATAAGAAATTGTATCTTAAACACGATAACGCCGCAGTTCATTCAGCACAGTTAGTAATTGGATATTTGAACTAAAAAATTCCCACACTTCCGCGTCCGTTATTAAGTCCAGATTTCACACCGTACGACTTTCTCTTTTCAACAATATGAACTCTGCAATCAAAGGACATCGATTTGATGATCTTGAAGACATTACCTGTGCAACTATTTCACACCTGCTTTTTGCATTGGGAGAAAAGTTATACGCTGAATGCAGGGGGACTAATGTGAAGGAATACTGCAACTGAATTTTTTAAAGTTATTTTATAAAATATTCTCATTGTTAAATTATAATACCTTGTACTCAATTCAATAAATTAATTTTGGAGCACATCGTCAGCAGTTTATCTCGGCATTCAGTATCATAGGTTAAAAAGCAAACATTGAAACTTTATTAATGGAAATTTTTATATGAAGTCAAGGAACTTTGATTTAAAAACAGATCTGAAAACTGATTACAAAACCTAAAAGAATAAAGTTTGTTTATAACTTTGCGGCTTCTTATTTCATTCCATGTAAATTTTAGGTGCAATTTTTGGGTATCTTCGTGAATTAATCATTCAGAAAATTAAGCTCATAGTTCAATTTACGTAATTTATGAAGAAAACTAACTGTCCAGGTATACAAATAACATAAAATATTATATAGGTAATAAAAACAGTATTAGCCTTTGCTTTTAAGAAATGCTGTAGATAATCGATAGCATCTGAAATGCCTCACAATATGTAATTCTGAAATTTTAAAATATAGTATGTATACTTACATAAATTCCACTTGCCAGGGCCAGGACAAAGTAACAAATGACCACAGCGACCTCATGAACACTGCAGGTTGATAAAGGAGTTGAGGACGACACAGAATCACCGACAGTTGTTGATACCACTATCTCATTTAATTCCATCACTGTTCAGGAAACAGAAACGGGCCATTCAAGAGTGACTAAAGAAACCTGTTTGATATTCATATGTGGGTAAACAGTGTGCTTTGCTGGAAATTTGGCAGATGAAATATTAAATAAGAATAGTAAGAACTCAGTAGCTATACGGACGGTGTTGGTAACAGACTGATAAAGCACGAGATGCTGCAGTATTAAATGTGTATATTTATATATATATATATATAATTAAATGTGAAGTAAGTGCGAAATCTAGATACAGAATTCAAACTCCTGGACTAATTAGAAATGTCCTTTGGCTGAGAGTTTGTTAGTCGTGCAGTGGCTTTTAGTTTTTTTTTCTAGAAAAGTTTTGCTAGTAAATTTTAAGTTAAAATTTACAAAACTCCTGGTTAAACAATTTTTAAACATTAAAATGCAATTACAATTTTAATTTAAAGAGAAACAATGTTTATCCACGATTTATTTAAGATATACACTAAACAAGAAATGAAAATCAAGCTTATTATTTGTATATTGCAGGAATATCGACAAACACGCATAAAAACTTTATTAGTTCTCAATTTAGACTACACTACATTTCAAAATAAGTGAGCCAATGCTTTATTAATGCCTGGATTCTAGAAAAATACTTCTTTTTTCAACCTGGATATTCACATTTATTGCCACACCAGATGCGTATCAACACATCCATCTTTCTACTTCAAGGTTTCTCAACCAGGGAGGACTTTCCCCACCCCTGGGGTGAAATTTCATACTTTCAGGAAAAGAATGAGGTCAGTTTTTTTTTTTTTTTTTTTTTTTTTTTTTTAAATCTTTTATATGTTATGAATATAAAAAACTCAAGTTTTGGAATTTATCAAAATTTTCTATACTTTTTCTTGTTTAATAAAAACACGTGAAAAAAATTATCTAAATTGAAACAAATATGTATGTATTTTAGAGTTTAGGAAATGAAGCGGATGACCGTCTAGGAACGTTGAAAGAAGTCGAGCAAAAAATTTTGAGAACCACTGCTGTACTTCTATTGAATCACCGGACTAAAGGATAGAATTCCAAACGAGCCGCTGGTGGCGGCAGAGCCTGTGGTGTAGGATCAAGCGTTTACCTTTTGCGGACTTAAAGAGATCGTCTGGAACTTAAAGGGGGGGAACTCTACAGATCGCCATTAAATGTGGTGTTTCTAAATAGTTGTATATGGGAACAATACCAGATTCACCGTCTGGTAAATAACTGATGTTCCCTATATTTCTACCTATCCCTATATCTCGAATGAATTTCTTGCCAACGAATGCTTCCTTGAAGAGTAATTTACTGTATAACATTTCATCAACAGATAGCGCCAGTAGCTTGACGCTTGTCCGTTCTTTCTTATCTTTTCTCATCTAATCACTATATCTTATCTCGTTCATTTGCGCTTTTGCAGCTGAGGATGATGGTTCGGTTTCTCTCTTTTTTCTACATGCCTTTATGGTGTAACGGCAGCACACTCGGCGCGTATTTGAGAGGTCCCGGTTCGAGTCTCGACAAGGGCATTGCATATTCCTCACAACTCTCGCTTCAAAATAACCTAATGACTCTAACTGACGATAAGGGTTCGAAAGTTTCTCAGAGCTTAAACATTCCTCAATTTCCTACGCGTATAGAAAATTTTATTTTACACTTTATGTACAATATGATATCAGAGTAAGATTTACACAATACTTATCAGCAGGGGTTCATAATACTAGAAATTCTCTATGTAGGATCCACTTATTAGCCTGTTAAAACACGATCAAACACATATTGCTTTTCACCCACCGATAAATGACTGCAAAATACTTCAGAATTGGATGATTGCATTCTACCTTTCTTTAACGCTTGCCTTCAAAGTGTGATCAATCTGTAACAGTTTGCTGACATTATATTTCTTATCAAGCAAACGAACCTACGTGTACCGGTACTTCAACCTACCTGTAACAAAATGATTATTACATTAATGTTAATATTGATTCTGTCTCGCAGATTACTAAATAGAAAGAACTGTTGAGACCAGGATTAAGAACACCTTATACCCTAATTTGATCCAAACTCTCAGTTTCGAGTGTCGCTGAGTCTTCAGGTGTTCTCCTGTTCATACATTTTTTACATTTTTATTGATGCCCTTTATCAGATTCTTTTCCAAAATCAGTTTTGCAATAACAGAAGCATATATTGAATTAAACTTTTAAAAAGCAAAACTGAAAGGAATCCGAAATAGCTAATAGATTTTTTCACAAATTGTAAAATCATAATAAAGCATTTAAAATATTACTGGGATTTTATTTAATCGCATTTCGTGGTTCATGAGTAACCTCAAATAGTAAACTTATAATTTGGAACGGTACAACTGTTGTTGTTTTCTACTTAAAAATTTCTCTCATTAAAACACAAGTATTGGAATTTATCTTTACTTTTTTTAGCTCTGGCCCTTTATTTTTTTGCCCAAAAGTTGTCTTGAGTTTGAACTTAGACTACGCATCCCAAGCTAGAATGATAGAAAAGACAGCGCATCTACATCAATCGCAGATTTTGCATCGAAATTTCAATTATAGATCTGAATGTAAAGCCTTTGGATTCCTGAAGGGAAATGATAGATCTTTTTAACGAGAGCAAGAAGTCACATACATATATTACGAATAATCAAAGTATATTTAATGAAGAAGATTATTTGTAATCAATCAAAGACAAAGTTAAAAATGGTTTCTAAGTATTTCAAGAATAGGTTTTTCTCAGATCAATAGAAGTTTTTCACTTCTTATAAAAATTCTAATAATGATGTATACAACTATATGGAAACATATATTTTATCAGCCAAAGGACGCATTTAGCCTAGAAGTTTGCATTTGTTTTACTGATGATATTTGTTCATGAAATTTAAGGCGTAAATCATTAAAGTATCCTGTCATATCACAGATTAATTCAATCTGTAGGTGTTAAGTTTAGGCGTTATTTAGAACAATAGGGTAAAAAGCCTGATTTCCAAATAATTCAGACTTGAAAGAAATCTGAAAGTTTTCGAGAATTTCAAAATTTTAAATATAAAGAAAATGTAAAAGTTATAATAAAGACTGATGAAAAAAAGGCATTTTAAACTGTATTTTCGATGGCTATTTATCTGCTGGCTACTATTCCTTATCGATATGCAGTTAAACTTCAATGTGACACTTTTACAATATTTTGAGTTTACGTTACCATTAATGTTAGTGTTTTTACTCATTAGTGAGTAACTTAAATAAAGAGAAATGAAAATTCTTTCACAAATTGTAAAATCATAATAAAGCATTTAAAATATTACTGGGATTTTATTTAATCGCATTTCGTGGTTCATGAATAACCTGAAATAGTAAACTTATAATTTAGGACGGTACAACTCATGATAATTATATATGATTCGTTCGTAGTATTGCGACTTCGTGGAGGATTTTCTAAAAGAAACTGGTTCGGATTTTGAATACGCTTGCCCAAGGAATAAAACTTCAATTCGCGAGAAAATGAAACCAGCAAATGATATTGATGGTAGACATACAAATAGCATGCTAATTTCAAAACTTTCCTTTCTTAAATTGCTTCTTTTCTCTGAAAATTTTAATCAGAAATTCCTAAAAAGAAAAATCAGTTGGACAAGATTTTCTTATTTTTTCTAAATTCGAAGACCTTTGTTCTTAATAAAAATACAGCCACCAAGCCGGTATACTGGTTAAAGACGCTGACCATACCGATGTGTCCGAGTTCGAATCCTGGAAAAAGGATGGATATTTCTAAGAGTATAGTGTATGTGCGGCAAGGGAGTACTCAAAATACACAGCGAGCCGGAAGTCCACTCTAGAAGTTTGGGAGACCCTCGGACCGCCGGCGGTTTGTTCTTGCATTCTTGAATTGGGGCAGAGCTGCACGGTGGAACTTTACCTGAACAATCTTTTTTGAAATTCCGGTGCTTCCCTACATCTCCCTGTTCTTAAATACACACATCTCATTTGCATCCTGGTGAAAGCTAACGAAAAGCACGAAGTGATAGTATTTTTTATAGTGATAAGGTAATGGGTTAGTTAACATAGAAGTGTGCGCACAGAGTGTTTTAAAGTGTTTTTAAATACCATTTCTGAACTCCAGAAAGTGTAAATTTTGAATTCATTCCTGGAAGAATTTGCAAAATATTAGAAAACTATCTAATTCTAAACTAAAGTCTAGTCTAACGCTAGAGAGGAGGAAGTATATTTTGCTTCAGTTTATATCTTCAGAAGTTGTTGAAAAAATATTGGTTTTTGCTACTGTTTTAATCAAAATTTATTGTTGTAATAAATAATAAATAGATGAATCAAAAGACATTAAAAACAAAATATGAAAATGGCAAGAAGATAATTAATAAATATCCTAAATATCTCAAGTTCCAAGTTTTGATTAGAAAAGCCTTTCTCAAATGTTACATTTTATACTGAATTTCTTGTAAAAAAGAAGGATTACATTAGTTTTAAACTAATAATAAAAATAAAAACGTAATAGTCGTTTACAAGTTCAGATTTTTAATTCTATGAAATCAAGTGAAAGAATATATAACAGCATTTATTTCAAATATCAAAACAGAGAATATTCTGCATATTTATTCATCGTTATGTTAAATTACTCAACAAGATAATATAATAGCCAAAAAAAATGTTTAGAGACAAAAAATGACGCAATAAAACACATTTTTATAATAAAAGTTCTTAAAGAAAAAATTATCGTTAAAAAATTTCCAAAACAAATTTTTCCATTTTAATTTCAGCCATGAAAGTATTAATAGGGAACAAACAATTATTCGGATTAAATCCTTAACAAAATTAGGGGAATCATAAAAAATACATTCTAAGTTTAGAAATGATCGATATTAAAACGTATTTTATTAGTTGTTTCTCCATTATTAGCTATTTCTCCATAACAATTATTTTGAATTAGAGCAGGTCTTAATGTTTCCTGAAATCCCAATGACATACATTTTAAATATCAAAACTATAAAAAATATTACCACTCTTTTGTGCAAAATGTTATTATTTTTA